TAAGTTTTGTTAATATCCAAGTGATACTTTTATGTATCTATATTATAGTGACAATCGCCATTTAAAGTAAACAAGTGTAGATCTTAAAACATTAACATTGTGAAAGATATTCATTGTGATTAATTAAAATCTATCTGATTTGAGTTTTATAATAGTGCAAACACTATTATAATATGCATACTGTTTTTAGGATAAAATAAAATTTGCAGTCTTAGTATAAGACACATTACATGCACTTACACATGTAGTATGCATACTAACAATAATTTCAAGAGAATTAGGTATGTACACCAGAAAATAACTACTATTGGGCAACATTCAATACTGATTTTTTGCCACTAATGTACTCTTGGCTAATTGGAAGTCTCATGAATCTTATAAGATTCTGTAAAATACTGTCAGCTTATATACTACAAAGCAATTTCAACTACAAAATATTAGTCCAAGAACTATTTTTACTCTTATTTATTACTTTAAGGCCAAATTGAAGTACTTCATAATATAGTAATATTTAATGATGGACAATTTAGATTCTGATATACAAGAGCAGTGGGAAAAGACCAGTACCGACACCAATCTTGAAATATGAGATAAATCAAGCATAGAATGAATGAAGAATGGCGTAGCAATAGGCACCCAAGGATAATCTATATTATATTCCGAAGGACATAATTTATATCAATCATCATATTTCACATAAATCACAATGGTCACTGCTGTAATATGACATAGTTATATCTTGATTTATTTAAATTAATTAATTATTCCTATCAATTTCAAATTTGTGTGTTAGACAAAGTAATTTATTGCCATGAGCTCATTTTAAATAATTATATTACAAATACACAATATTATGTAACATTTTTGTGTATTATTTACCTTTTTATGCAATCAACTCACTTTGTAAATTCTCTGTTGACATGTTATAAGGTTCATTTCAACTGTCATCACTAATCAGATTGGTTATTTGTAAAATCAACTCCAGCCATGATAAAAAACAATTAAAACATCAGCCTGCATGTAATTATGGTCATATCTATCAAAATGTTCACTAATGGTTATAATAATATATGGTTATACTTTTAAAGTTATTTGGATGAACATAAACCTTTATAAGATATATGTCACAATAAATTAGGTTTAAAGAATAGGAATTAATCCAAGTGACTGACTTCATGAATATATTTTTAATTCTTATTATATAACAATACAATCAAATTGATTTAATATTTTGCAAGATTGCTGTTTAGAAAGAGTAAGTATGTCCAACAAACTTTACCCCAAATTGATATGAAAATAAATACAAAATTCTTCACTGGATTGCTACCTATATTAATAAACTGTAACGCAACTGAAAAATATTATATTGAAGATACTTAAAGGTACTTAAATAAGGGGTTGACATTTGATGTAGTACTGTTGTTTTGCTAGTTTAATTTGAAATTCCATAATTGACCCCACCTGTGTTCAAACCGGTGTTTTCTGAAGCTCCAGCAGGAGGAGGAGCAGGCATAGCGATGGGAGGCGCCTGATCACCCTTAGGGCGGCCTTCTCCACCCGGCTGCACAGTCACGGCTTGCACGCCATCTGAATCATCCCGCTCCAGTGTGTGATAATCACCAGACTCCTCGGGTGGACGTGGTTTGCACTTGCCACAGCAGCAATTGCAACAACAGCAGAGGCAGCAGCAGAAGTAGCATCCGGTCAAAATGCCGCAAACAATAAACAGGGCCTTGCACCAAGTGCTTGTCACCACGAAATAGGCGTTGACGTTTTCTTCGCCGAATTGCTCAGCAATGTAAAGACCAAGAGATCCATAATTATCATATATATTTCGTTTCGTGCCATCACTTAGAATCGTATGTGCGCGATTTACTTCTTTGAATTTCTCGGCAGCTTCAGGATTGTTGGGATTTTTGTCGGGATGATATTTTAACGCTAATTTCCGATAGCTTTTCTTGACATCGTCTTGTGTAGCCGTTTTTGGGACTTGCAGTATTTGATACAGGCTATCCCCCGCAGTTGATAGTTTCCTTTTATCCATCTTAATAACCCAATATATTAAACGGTTTAATACAACGTGAACGAGAAATTATAATGCAAAACTAAGACAATCCGTAACAATTTACGAATTTACGATAATACGGACATCTCACTTGTACAACGGGGTTGTCAGCTGTATAAATGGAATGAATGAATTAAAGAATGGTCTATAATAAACAAGTTGATATTATTTTTACATTCTCTTTCTCTCTTTAATATAAAAATAACTTCTTCTTCTTTAAGATAACTTCTATGATAATAATCCAACAATAGAAAGAGAGACCACCCCAACAACGATGAAAACACCAAAATAATGAAGAACGTATCTATCCATATTATTGGAGGAAACAAGGATGTTGAAAAAAGGAGGAAAATTAAATAGGTAACAAATTACTACTCAAATATTAATACGATTCCATACGTAGTATCTCTAAGTAGTTTGTGACGATGCCTTGTTCGCACTACGCAAGTATTTTCGTCGAGTAAGTAATAGTAAGTATTTAGTAGCAGCTCTCTTTTACTTTGATTTGAAGACAAAAAGCATCGCCTAAACTTGGGCTTGAGTAGTGATTTGTTATTTTGTACAGTATTATGAATGCGCCGGACTTTATTGTTTTGGTGTTTTCACCGTTGTTGGTATCTCTTGAGTTACTAAATTCTCGCAAATCGACCAAAATACTTGCGTAGTGCTAACAGTTTAAACAATTTAGTTTTCTGCGCTACTCGGCCTCAGTCTGAGTAATATAATTTCCAATGTAATTATAGCCTTCCTTATATCTGAAACATCTTTATTTATTTTATATTTATTAAATATTATTATTTTTATATCATAAATATAAAATAAATAAAGATTAAATATTAATATTTATTATATTATGCAACTATTATATTATATTATGCTATTTATACAACTTGTTAACTGAAATATTAAAAGAAATCCCCAAAATTTACAGTTTTCTTTGGCAATGTTATAGAAACCCTTCAAAATTACTGTTTATGGACAATTTAATAGAATCGGCTGTGGGTTGTCAACAAGGAGACCCTCTTGGACCTGCCATTTTCAGTTTAGCCATAAATCCTATTATTCGTGAACTAAATTCAAAATTTAACGTATGGTATTTTTTTTTTAAGGGGGGAAAGTCATCGAATGACTGCTCCCGCCTGGGTGAGGCGGGAGGGAGTGTCAGACTCTTACTGACTAAAAACCACCCCGTTCCTTCTCCTGCACGTCGAGCCGGAGCCCCGGTTACCCGTTAGGTTCTCCGCGACTCCGAATCGGCATCGGCCCTATTGGGCCCCATCTGTGATGGTCTGATGGGTCTTTGAGGCGCGCGTGGAACGCGACGCGCCGTACGCTCGGGTCTGTTTCTGGTCGGACGGGGAGCCACCCTACGTATGGTATTTAGACGACGGAACTCTAAGAGGTGACGTCGACATTGTTCTAAAAGATTTGACTATATTAAAAGAAAAACTGAGTTCTATTGGCCTTGACTTAAATTTATCAAAATGTGAATTATACATTCCTGACTCTACAGACAGACTAACGACTCTAACAAAATTTAATCAAATAGCTCCAAATATCTAAATTATTGATAAGTAGGTACTCACTTCATCTCCTAGGTTCACCAATATTCGATGAATGTTTTCCTAAATTCATCGAGAATAAGATAGAAAATTTCATTCACAATTCGGAAAGATTACACAAAATCAACACACATTCGGCTTTCACCCTAATTCGGTATTGTTGTTTTGGACCAAAATTTACTTATATTCTCCGCGCTTCACATCTATGGAAACATTCACACATTTTAGAAAACGTAGACAAAATTATCAGACACACATTGTCATCCATACTTAATGTGGCTTTGGATGACCGAGCTTGCCAACAAGCTAGTCTTCCCATTCGCATGGGAGGGCACAGCGTCCGCAAAATTTCAAGTATTAGTTTACCAGCTTTTTTGTCATCGATCCACAGTACCTCTGGATTAGTCAGGAAAATTCTTTCTTCGTCACTGACCAGTTTTGAGGTGCCGTGTTTGTCTGATGCAGTGGAAGCGTGGAAAATGGCTTGCCCACTTACGGATTTACTTGTTCACCCATCTTCTCAGAGACAGTGGGACGCGCCGCTGTGCAATGTTATTCGTGAGTCTTTAATCAACTCGTCTTCTAATACTGCAGAGCGACCTCGCTTATTGGCTGTGGGAGAATGGGAATCAGAATTGTGGCTTCAGGCACTCCCGTCACCCTTCATAAATACTATGTTGGATGACATTACGTTCCGCCTAGGTGTATGCTTACGTTTAGGTGCTCCTTGTGTTTCTCCGCATTATTGTCACTGTGGAGAAAGAGTCGATGGCTTGGGACACCATGGTCTTTCTTGTTGCAGAAGTGCAGGCCGCATAGCTCGCCATGACAGTATTAACGACATGATTCGTCGTGCTCTTGCCTCAGCCGGTGTACCAGCCGTATTAGAACCTAATGGTTTGGTACGTGATGACGGCAAAATACCAGATGGTATGTCGTTGCTGCCTTGGAAAATGGGTAGGTCTTTGGTGTGGGACGCGACGTGTGACCCTTGCGCCATCACATCTTCTATATACCGCTGCATGCGTTGGTGCGGCCGCTTCCGCGGCAGAGGCCCTCAAACGGCGTAAATATTCAAATCTAGTGTGTAACTACTGTTTTGAGCCGTTTGGGGTCGAAACACTTGGGCCATGGGGTCTCAGTGCATACTCTGTTTTTAAAGATATCGCCCGTAGGCTAATCGACTCTACACGTGACCAGAGGGCTGGCTATTTCTTCGGACAGAAAATAAGCATTGCCATTCATACATTCACCATTCATATGTAGTAATTGATTATTACTGAATAAAAACTTCAAGTCAATGTATACCTTCTTAGGTGAGAACGATGTAATGACAATACAACGTCAAAATTTTGGTGCCCTTTATAACCAACTTAGTCGATTTTTACAAAATAATGATTGAAGTGGCAAGTGCACGAGTACAACCGTCAACAAATTAGTTTAAGTCAATGTCAAATAAGTGACAAGTTCGATTCCATCATCAATCCATGCATGCATGATCCATCATCCATTTCATTTTCAATTCATTCATCTGCCGCCGTAATCTGCCTGCCATTGGCCATACAACATATCTACCAGTTTGTTTCATCAAAGCGTATTTATACAAGTTGATGCATTTCATGGAATGTAAATGCTGCTAGCTTACCGTTGAACCAACAAATATTGTAATACTGTGCTTATAATAATATAATTCAACGGTACACCATGTATCGGAAATCGGTGTAAAAATTTGAAGGTTAACCTATGCTGAAAAATAGCAAAATACTTTATTCACTAGTCAACAGATAACATCACTATGTCTCAGTCGAATATGAAGTTTCGCAGTTTATTTAAGCTGTACCTAGATACTTTACAACGAAGACCATACTTGGTACAAGCGGTGCAAACTGGAGTCCTCATGGGTTCCGGTGATTTAATAAGTCAAACTTTCATTGAACGTAAGCACATCGCAAAGGTCGACGTCACAAGAACTTTAAAATTTTCTTCAATAGGCTTTTTTGTTGGTGTAAGTATCTACTATCATTGTTTTCCTTACAACCCTATAGAGTAAAACCACATAAAATTATAAATTCTTTTAATATTATGCTTTGTCAGACATCGATTATAATAATCCATAATTATAAATTATTATTTGAAAACCTCATGCTTGGTGTCCACACCACCAAGCACGAGATTTTAGAATTATATAGTCACTAATCTCATGAGACAGAGTACACAGTTAAACTTTCAAACACCAAGCGGTCACTGGTGACCGCAACCTATTGTTCTTTATTTGTGTCTACAAAACCGGTACTCGACGAGTTAATATCAAAATTATTTTAAAAGTAGATAAGCATATCTTATCATGCATGTAGAGATACCAATTTACTAGAGATTTAATATAATCAGAATTAGAAGTAAAGAAGTATTATTTAATACACTTTTCATTTTAGGGACCGGCATTGCGACTTTGGTATGGAGCATTATACAAGTATATAGGTTCCAGTGGCAAAACAGTTGCTTTGAAGAAAGTATTTATTGACCAAATTATGTTTGCACCTTTATTCTTATGTGGAATTCTGAGTGCAGTAGCAGCCTTGCAGGGCAAGGATTGGACTAACATTAAAAGTGATTTGGAAAACAATTACATAGATGTCTTAAAGACTAATTACTGTCTCTGGCCATGGGTTCAGATAGTAAATTTTTATTATATTCCTCTCCAATACCAAGTTTTACTAGTTCAAGTAGTTGCATTATTCTGGAACACATATTTGTCTTGGAAAACAAACAAGAATTCCGAAAATATAGCAATACAAAAATGAATACATATACATAGTTTAGTATTATAGCACTAGCATATGGGTTAAATTGTAAAATACTTAAAAAATAGTAAAATAAATGTATTAATGTTTAATAGTGTCTCACTCAGTACCATCACAAATAACTCAAAGGAAGTTTCACATTGAACTGTTACAAATGTTTTGTTAGTAATAAGTAGAGACCGGATAATATGCATTTGCATATTTGCATATGCATTTGCATATTTAAGCGATTTTCAAGGCTAATAGCATATTTTTACTAATATCTAATGATGATGCATATTATTGCTATAATTTACAGTAGGTAGGTATTTTTCGAGCGTAGCGCACTCGGCAGCCGCGCGTATTTTCTTTTGGTAGGTACTCAAAAAATGAAAGAGACAAAGTTTTTGTGTGTGTACAATGCATCCCGAAAAAAAGTTTGTCTTCGTGGATAAGTGAATGTTCCAGGACATTTACTTACGACGGAAATGTTTTATATTGTCGAGTTTGCGAGAAAAACATTTCGTGCACTAAAAAGTATCAAATAGACCAACATGTCAAGACAAGTGTTCACGTCGCAAAATACTTAAATCTAAAGGAATAATATTTACAAAACAAAAAAAACTCATTTAATGTTGCATATTCTGTAAGTTTACGTGCATATTTTAGGCATTTTTCATGCATATTTGCATGCATATTTTAAACTTTTTATGTTGCATATTATCCGGTCTCTAGTAATAAGTTAATGGGGTTTAGCTCCAAATTTTTTTATGTTTATTGTCTATTCCAAAAAATTCGTTTTTTTTTAGTCATTACAAATGTAGGTACTAATTGTTACTGTGAAACATTATTTTACTTGATATCCAAACGATCTAAATTTTTTTATGGCATAAGCCGGTAAACGAGCCGACGCGATCACCTGATGGTAAGCAATCGGCGTCGCCCATGGACACCTGGAACACCAGTGGCGTTACAAGTGCGTTACCAGCCTTTTGGGGATTAGGAGTTTGAGGATCGTTGGGGATTCAGGGATTGGGGAAGGGGAGGGTAATTGGGCCTCCGGTAACCTCACTCACACGACGAAACACAACGCAAGCGTTGCTTTACGTCGGTTTTCCGCGAGGTCGTGGTATCACTGCGGTCGAGCCGGCCCATTCGTGCCTAAGCATGGCTCTCCCACACTTAAATAATTCAACATTTGACTTTTCCCCACTCATTTTTATCCATTTTTTCCTGTGTCATGGGTGCGTTTACAAACATGCAAAATCACATACCTACACATCACACCCACACCCGAAACAAAAATTTGTGGATCACAGTCAGACAAATAGTTGCACCGTGCGGGAATCAAACCCGCTACACGTTGCGCTGCAGTTGGTTGCTCAACCATCGCGCTAACCGTGCAGTCAAGTCAAAAGATTAGTGCGTTCAAACAAACTAGCCTTTTAATATACGGTAGGTACCTAAAGTATAGATTGATCAAATGGCAATTATATGTGTGCGTTACCGCGTTACCCAGGCCAGATGTTGTCGAAAATGGTCATTTGAATGTTATAGATAATTAGTGTGCGGCTACTATAATTGTTGCGCACATTTTTAAATTTGTTGCGATTATAGTTTTTTAATTATTTCACAAAAACATTTTAACGGGTAACGTTACCCCAGCCAGACCTTTTTCTTTCTAATGGGAATATTTAAATAATTACTAGCCATAAAATTAGTTGTCTAGATGAAGTAAATGTTGTGCCTTGTTTTGTATTTGTTCTTATGTTGGAAGTTGGAACCTACCTATTTTATAAAAATCGTGATAATTATTATAGGCACTATTTATAACTTTACTCAAGATGCTAAATCGGTTTGACTGAAAATTGGTGGCAAGGGCTTAGAACCTGGAGACCCGGATTTCCCGAAAATCCCACGGGAATGGAGAAAACGTTGAGTCCGTAGGTAGAGTGGTATGATATACTCTTAATTTTCATGAAAATGAACATCAGTCCCTTAGAGTAACAACATCAATGACTAGTATTATTTTTGCAAGGTAGATATGACGTGCTTGTCATTCATGACTGGTGTAATTTATTGTCAATGTCATTTCTAGTTCTGTCATTTTGCTGTCATCATTCACTTCATTATCTTTTTGATAACATTGTAGTGCGGTGTGATTGTAAAGTAAGTTTAAAAAGATTTCTATTATAGTAATCTCTTCTTCTTCAAGCTAACTTGCTGAATTAATCGCAACTTCATGCTACATCGTCCAGCCAGTCATTCAACCAATATAAATTAGTAGCAGTCTATAAATTAAACCATTCAATAGTTGTAGTTCTGCGGTATTGGGTAGTGATAATTATCGTCGGTCCACAGTTCATATGCTCTTAAATTCACACAATCTAGTGTCCATTCGCGTTTTAATTAATGTTAAGTAGTACCTGTCTCAATTCATTTTAGTGCTAACGTGCCTTTCGTGCAGCCAGGTAAGCTCAGGCAAACTAAATACATAAAAATATACTAGTGCATGATAAAATTATAGTAAAAGGAAGTCAGGCCGGCCAATATAGTAAAAAAGAGTGGCCTTGACTATTTCGCTAGTACTAGCGAATCAATAATTTATGACCTTGGTGTAGCATGTGGATAAATAGTAATATGATGTCATATATATTTCGGTCATTTATTTTACAGCAAAAACAGCCACCTACTTACATTTAGTGTATTTCTTTTATTAATGATCTTTGTGCAATAAATTAAAGTTAGCTTGATAATGAGTTCCTACTATTTATTCACTTCAGATTATTTGCATAATCATGCCTTGAGAAAAATAAAAATGTGTTATTCATGATAATTAATGTTAAATAATGATTATACAGGTAACTTGATTTTGAAAAGTAGAATAAAGATATGTAGACTAGAGCCAAACATGTAAAAATGACTTTTTTTAAATCGGTACTTAATCTTATTTGCATTTGTCAATTTACCGTCTGTAACAACATGTATAGATTGAATTTTTTCTTAAAAGTTTAATTTTATTTATAACTTTATTTTAAAGTAGTATTTATGTAGGATGATTTATGGAGAATTTTTTTCTTTCAGAAAACCACCATGGAACAACTTTCATTGGTTTCATCAAACAAGATATTTGGGGGCTACCAAAAAGTGTACTCCCATCAGTCATCTGAATTAAAATGTAAGATGAACTTCTCAGTGTACTTGCCACCACAGGCTGAAGGTGGTGATGTCAAGTTACCAGTTGTTTTCTACCTCTCAGGACTTACTTGCAGTGAGCAAAATTTCATCACTAAATCAGGCTTCCAAAGGTAAATAATATTAAAATGTATGTATTTCTTAAAATACTGTAGACTTTCATTCATCATATAAGGTTTTTATTCTCAAGATTCCAAGTAAGAAAAAAAGTTGTTTTTACTAAAGTCAATAATATTGCTTTGTCATTTCATGAGGTATGTTTTAGTGCATTCTGAATACTGAAAAGTATTTCAGTTATAAAATTATACTATTACTAAAGTTTTTGAGCCGCTAAATATTTGAAGATTTGTGTATAATATGGAACAAGTAGCTTGAGTTGATACCGAAAAAATGTTTATGTGGCTTCTTGACCTTATTTTTCAGATTATTATAATTATATTACTAACAATAGCTGTTAATTATTGTTCTTATCAAAACTATCAAACTTATCATGTAATATACACATAATTTTATTTCTAAACTTGAATAACAAGGTTCATAATTGTGTTTTATACTTTACCCATAACTATAACTTGGTTTGTGTTTAAAATGTAACAATTGTTTATTAATGTGCAGGTATGCAGCAGACCATGGCATAATAGTTGTTGGTCCCGACACTTCTCCTAGGGGAGTAAAGATTCCAGGTGATGATGACTCTTGGGACTTTGGTGTTGCTGCTGGATTTTATGTAGATGCCACTAAAGAGCCATGGTCAACAAACTACAGAATGGCTAGTTATGTGAATAAGGAATTGTATGAATTAGTTCAGCAAGCTTTTAACAATGTGGTTGATCCTGACAGAATTGGCATCATGGGACACAGGTAAAATGTCAATTTACTTACTGACATTATTTAATAAACTGATAAATGATTTAGGGCAAAGCTGGTATTGAACCAGATTTTAACTTTTTGCTAGCTGCTAGTCTTTTTTATTGTCATATTTATGGTGATTATCATAATTATTTTCATTTAGGAATAGCATTTGTTAATTATGTCATGTTGAATGTAAGATAAAATATTATCAGATGTGTTATTGCTAATTACTTAATTAGGTATATTTATGATGATACAACAGAGTCTTATTATCATAAAAAGCCATACAATTTCAGTTTTCCTGTGTCATGAATGTATTTACAAAAACGAAGTCAGGCTCAGAATTGTTTGTGGAGGAATAGAATCGAACCTGCATCACATTATTACGCAGAAGTTAGTTGCCATTAGTGTGTAGGTGATGTGGGATGTGGGCTGCCCACAGTATGGAATAGATCTGATTAGTGTATTAGCTTTTGTTGGTTAACGAAAGAAAATACCTCGATAATGTGACTTTGGCCATGGCAAATTCTTCCAGGGATAACTACAATAAAAAAAAGAGTAGGCAGAGTTACGCATATACAGAACTAGCAACTCCCGCTCGGTTTCGCCCGTAACTCGACTATCCAACACAAAAAGAATTATCAAATTAGAACCACTAATTTTGGAGATTAGTGCGTTCAAACAAACGAAATATGTATTCAGCTTTATTAACCAACCCAACTATTTCGCCAGGTTTATTATAAGTCCTGTGTAAGAGGAAGCCAGAACTAATATTCTTATTCTCTAATCTCCAGCATGGGAGGTCATGGAGCTTTAATATCAACCCTCAGAAACCCTGGGTTGTACAAGTCAGTTAGTGCATTTGCTCCTATCTGCAACCCTATTCAAGGCCCATGGGGTGCCAAGGCCCTTGGTGGATACTTGGGAGATGATAAGAGCAAGTGGGTTGAGTGGGATGCTACAGAACTAGTCAAGAAATATGATGGACCTCCACTCACTTTACTCATTGACCAGGTATTTTTATTTTATTCAATATACTTGATCAGTCTTATACCAAAATTGTTTCTTACTTTTTATAACCTGTTTTTCTCATGTTCCAGGGTTCAATTGACCAATTTTATGTTGACAAGCAATTATTACCGGAAAACTTGGTAGAGGCGTGTCGTTCAGTGGGTGTCCCAGTCATACTAAAGTTACGCGAAGGTTACGACCACTCGTACTACCACATAGCCTCTTACATTGGCGAACACTTCGACTTCCACGCCAAGATACTGAAGGCCTAATCTAAGAAACCTTTATTGACAAAGTCAATGTAATTCAATAATGCATTTTTAATTAATATCCGTTTTTATTTTTGAAATAAAGTTGTTACTTACAAATATTTTCTTTTCTGTAAACATACAAAGAAAAGCCAAATTTTTATCACAACAATAGAAAGAAATGCTATTTACCAAACATTAAAAATAATTTGTCAATTTTACATTCATAATATTTTCTTAACAAAAATTGTTTTACTATTATTTTCACTATGTCAAGTTGCTATCTGCCTGTATCGTTTTTCCTAAAAGTATGGTAATACTGCAGGAATTTATCTCTGTTCCCCCATATAATTGAGCTACCCCAGTGACACCAAGCCCTGGAAAAGAAATCAATATTTATACCAGTACTTTCTGTGGTTTGTTGTGTTGTAAAGATTTTACCTTCACTAATATTTGCACTATAAACCTACCTTAGTTAATAGCTTGTATGTATGTACATAAACACAACATGAAGGAAAAACAACAAATTTTTCAGTAGTCTCGCCTTTTTTTTGATAATCTGGCACACATGCTGTTTTAAACAATAATTATTTAATATTATTATTGTTCAATATGATAAACTTTACTGAAAAGGTTTTAATAATATATGTACTCACATGCCAAATAAAGCACCACCAAGATGTGCAGCATGGTCGAAGAATTTCCATCCAAATACCACTCCAGCAAAGTCAACACTCATAATAACCTTGATAGCCTGTAAGATTGTTATGAAAGTTTTGATATCTTACTATATTTTAGAACACCTACAACACATTTACTTTGTATACTTCATACTGTTAACTAAATCTAATGTACAAGAAAAAGATGCCATATTACCGTGCCAGCAGCAAATGTGTACATTGGTAAAAAGATAATGCTGAGCCTGGTATCAGGATACTGTACACATACATACGCCAACACCGACATTATTGCTCCTGACTGAAAAAAGGCAAATCATATTATAGATTTTTATATTGATGACTGAATTTATCTAGATCAGGTACAATTTTTTTTATTTGCAATAAAATACATTGATAGCGTAAAAATTTATAGACAAAGATATTTATTGATCTATCTATATAATGATAAAGATCTTTCTATAATTATTATTGTATAAATTATTATTTGAATGTAGTGTCTGTGCTACACATCATTTATATACTTACTGCACCAAGACTAAGGCCAGGCTGATTTAGTGCAACTTTGTAGACAAAACTTGCAAAGCTGCTTATTACACCAGCGCTTAAATACATGGCTACAAATTGTTCTTTTCCTAATGAAGCTACTGCAGCTGTAAGCACATAAAGAGAACAAATTAGTTATGTCATGTTTTAATATAAAATAAAACATACACAAAAGTGATGTCACGCAATATTTCAAATTGATATATTATCGAAAGTATTTGTTTCTTTAAAATATAAAAATACTTGTGTAATGATTAAAAAATGAGACGGGCATTAAAAAAATAAGTCATGTGACCCACCCTATAGTGAAAGTATTAATCGACTGCCACATACATAGTAGTTATACCATTCAAGTGTAATTATTCTATTGTGTTGCATATTGATTTTATAAAGATTCAGTTTTAAACATTATATTGTGTAAATGACTTACCAGGCATGAAGCTGTAAAGAACATACATATTTGCGGCCAGATGCATTGCAGAGTAATGGCTGAATGTAGACAACAACATTGGAAGACATCGTGAACCTGATTCAAATTATCGGCATTACTTATATTTACAGAAGTAATAATTATTGATTCATAGTTATCATTTATTAGAAACTTACTTCCAGATGGATTAGAACAGAAGTATTTGATCATGTAGGGTTGCAGGGACCTCACACGCCAAGCACCAAACACCAATAAATTTGCAGCCAGTATTGGGTAAAATACTTTCTCACTGTCTCTTAACGACCTCCACCATTTGGTAAGCGGACCAGGCTCAGCTTTTTGCTAAAATAAAAAATACCTAATTGGAAATTATTCTAGGAAACTTATTTACTTCATTATATCAAAAAAATACTTACAAGATGTGTTTTAAATTTTCTTTGCTGAGCACTCAGCCAGGTGCCAGGTTTTTTGAGAAAAGATGAGGCATGTAAGCGTAGGTTCTCATATTCCCATATAAAGCAGCCAGTGAGACTTACTGCAGATACCTTGGAAGAATAATGGCAGTTTATAATGTTCTAATAATCTAGCCTTTGCGTGTAAACATTCAAATGGATGTAATAGGTATCTAAATAGAATTCTATTAAGAAGGTATAGATACCTTCCTAGAAGATTTAAATGAGAAAATGTAAATATCACGACTAACAAGAAAACATAATCTCACCCCAACTGTGAAAAAGAAGGGCTTCCAAAGGACCCTAGCATGAAGTGGTCCTGATTCTATCTGTATCTGGGACAACGGATCGGGCTCGAGAGCCGTGCGCCGGGCGCCTCGTCGACTGTTGTGTAAAGAATTGCGAACCACCACTCGAACGTTGCTGAGGCTTCCGCGACCTTGCTGGAGAAGCAACGGTCTACTAAAAAGCAGAAAAAAAATAATAAACCTACAATTTTTCAATAACATAACCTGTATTATAATTTGCCGTACCAACTATTCGTCGTCTCGGCCGCACACCATACATTTCTGAAGAACATTATATTGCTTTTTTTCTTATCTTTTCTGTTACATTATTAAAGAACGTAATTATTTTGTATGTCATGCAAAGGTATTACAAAACATTTAGGAAAAATTTCAAATCAAATAGCTTTGACAACTGACAAGTGAAGTGATTTTCTAAAAATTGACAGTGACATAAAAGTGTTTCCACAGATCAAAAAATGATGGGCTAAATCAATCGTATAGCATGATGATGAAATTGATCCTGTGACTGTGAATTGGTCTTTCCAGTGTGTTGTGGTTGTGTGTAGGACAGTGGCTACAAAAAATACATTTGAAAGTATTTATTATAAAAATGAAACCTTTAAAATCGTCCTTTATAAAAAAACATTATTTACAGAATTCCTAAGAGTTCTCAAATCTTAAATCGAAAAAGGAACATCGTTTAAAAGTTTTATTGTATTGATAAAAATTCGTTTCAATTCAATGTTTCAAAGTTATGATTGAAACTTAACTTTTTGAAAAACTATTTATTAGTTCACAAGTATCTACCGTCGTATATTAGTAGCATTTCCGCTACAATAGGAATTTTAGTAACCATTAATTTCTAATTGAAGCATGCATGTTTCAAAAGTTCAAAACATTCGAATTAAAACTTACTTTATCTTACCCGTTACTCTAACTCAAAACCGAATCCAAATTATCGGCCTAGACTAGCTAGATTTTTTTTCTTTTGAACGCTATTATATATAATTATGATTACAATATAGGTATACCTACCCAATCATTAGCCATGTGATGTTTATGTTACATAATAATTGTGTTTTTAGGATAAATTATGATGGCAAACTAGAATTTTTTTTATTAATTTCTCAATAAGGATGAGGTGTTCAATTTGGCCGGGCCGGTACCTTTTTTTTTGTATAATTACTTGCTAATATCAGAAATACACATAACATCTTACTGGATGGCACTGATTTTCTCCGTACGTAAAGAATTTCTCCGTCAAATAAATACAAACTAATACAAAGTATTTGCTTCATGATACAGTTGAGAGTTGAGTAAAGCCTTGATAATATTTTTCTCTTATTGCCCTGCGCTTCAATCTCACTCATTACCTACCTCTGGCCGGTGGCCGGGCGAGTGGCGCTATAGCCGCGGCGCGCTCATGCTACATCTACAATTTTACAATACCTATAACCAATACCTAATTAACTGTTAAAAATGCTGTAAAATCATAACAATATTCCTAATATTCATACAAATTATTGAATCTAACTACCTACTTTAGGTAGGTAGTACTTAATAACATAGTTTTTTTTTACGGCGGAATCTACATGTAAAAACAGCACGATCATAGTATTGAACTTGGCATTGAACTTTGAACGGATCACATTGTTTGTTAATATATTATCGCTGTGATATTCTGAATGAGGTAAATAATTTACGGAGGTATTATTTTCATATCTAGCTAGTACCGGTAGGTCACCGTCAACGGTAGACGTATAATATCTATTGACATTATTGACTAGTTTGTATTTGCTCCTGTACCTACATATCTACTCTTTGATATTGTCTCAGTGCCAGTGTAGACCGGTAATTAATTTTACATAAATTTTATTGCAATGTCACGTTTAGACCTCGTAATATTTGGGGCTACGGGTTTTACGGGTAAGCAAGCTGTAATACATATGGTAAAATTTGCTAAGAAATATGACCTTGCATCATGGGGAGTTGCCGGTCGATCTGAAGCGAAACTTCGCTCTATGATGACAGAGGTATCCAAAAAGACTGGAGAAGATGTTTCGAGTGTGAAAGTCATAATAGCAGATATAGATGATGATAAATCTCTCAAAGATATGTGTGTTCAAACTAAGATGATTGTTAATTGTTGTGGACCTTACCGCAAGTATGGGGAACCTGTCGTCAAAGCGGCTGTGGAGAACAAGACTAATTATGTAGATGTAAGTGGTGAACCCCAGTTCATGGAAACAATGCAGATCCGTTATGATGAACAAGCACGGCAAGCCGGAGTGTTTATCGTTAGCGCGTGTGGTTGGGATAGCATTCCTGCTGATATGGGAGTAATCTTCCTGAAACAACATTTCGCTGGTACTCTTAACTCTGTGGAGTCTTACTTAGAGTCGTATTTGCCACCAGAATTTAAGGCTGAGTCACGCGAACGAGGCCTCATCAATTATGGCACATGGGAGTCATTGGTCTATGGTATTGCTCATATGAATGAGTTGCCAGGTCTAAGGAAGAAGTTGTATCCTGAACCTCTACCTCGCTTAAAGCCCAAACTTCAACGTCAAACACTGCACAAGAAGGATGGCAAGTGGTATCTCCCATTTCTTGGAGCTGATGAGTCAGTTGTCTATCGTACTCAGCGCTATTTATATCACAATGAACAGGAACGTCCTATTCAATTCAAAGCTTACTTCAAATCTGGAAGTTTGTGTCAATCCATTCTTAGTATTTTTGGAGCCGTAATACTATTAATTATGACAAAAATGTCATTCACCAGAAATATTTTGCTTAAATATCCCAAGATTTGTTCCCTGGGCATGGTGACAAAGGAGGGTCCTACTGATAATGTTATGAATAATACACATTTTTCATTTGAGCTTGTCGGAAAAGGATGGGAGAGTGGTTCTGATGTACAGAACACAAAGCCAAATAAGACCGTTGTTGCTAGGGTTACTGGCACAAATCCAGGATATGGTGCCACAGTTGTAGCACTTCTGATGGCAGCACACACTGTTCTCAAGGAGAAAGAGAAGTTGCCTGGAGCAGGTGGAGTTACAACTCCAGGAGCCGTTTTCAAAAATACCAATTTAATAAATAAACTCATCGAAAATGACTTGAAGTATGAAATTGTTGGGACCAAGTAACATTTAAACTTGCAAGCATTTTTTTTTAAATTTATTTTTGGCATTAGAATTTAAGGTTTAGTTTTTATTATGGAAAACTATGTGAGAGCATAATGCGAGGAAACCATTTCTATTTAAATAAATACTTATATAAATATTAAAACTTTTTTTTTCTATATATTAGTATTAGAAAAGTCTTGATAAGTACTTATATTTTTTAAAATAGAGGGTAGATTGTACTAAAAGTATTCAAATGAAACATTGAATGATCTGTGTTTACTGCTGCTGTGCATCAGATCATACATCTAATTATTCAGACAATTAGATACCAACAATTGCAAAATAGATATTAAACTGTCAAACACCAAGCGGTCACCGGTGACCGCAACCTATTGTTCTATAATTGTGTCTACAAAACCGGTACTCGACGAGTTAAATTTAAATGATTATAATAATAATTGTTACTGTAGGTAAGTAAGAAATAAATATTGAAATGAGAATGAAGGTGTAAAAAAAATGTAAGGAATTTAAATTATAGAATATATTAAAAATCCTAAAAGATATCCTATAATACCTACTAGGTAAGGTTGATGTTCCTACCTAATCTGCTATAGGTATTTTATTTACATAGTTGATGGGCTTTTACTATTTAAATAGGTACTGCTTATATATTATGTGTAAACATGGTGATGAATATTTATTTATAAATGACCTTGTATGACCACTAAGAGGTTTACATATTTTATAGGTGTTAACTGATAATGAGCTTAACGACAGATAGGTAAGTATTGCATTTTGTTTTTGTTTTGCTTGCATGTAGGTACGACCTTTATCAGCTTGACCGAGAGATCCTTGGTTCGATCTCTTCACCTCTTGTCTGATCACTGATCAGTGACTAGGTACCGACACTATCCACTAACCCTATAAATCCTAGAATATCCTACTTAATTATTTTATTATGTAAATAATTAATTTTTAGTGTATAGTAGGTTCCCCCCCCCCCCCTCATATGCATGGGATATCAAACAACTGAAGAAATGTGCACAATCTCTAATCCTTCAGGAGGGATTTTTTTTTTTAAGGGGGGAAAATCGTCGAATGCCTGCTCCCGCCTGGGTGAGGCGGGAGGGAGTGTCAGACTCTTACTGACTAAAAACCACCCCGTTCCTTCTCCTGCACGTCCAGCCGGAGCCCCGGTTACCCGTTAGGTTCTCCGCGACTTCAGGAGGGAATAAAAGATGTGGTTCCTTGATAAGTTTTGTTTTTAGTTCTATAAACGAAGTCGTAATAATATTTTAAAGTTTATTATTAGTCATACCTACCTATTAGCCTTCATTAAAAACTAGCTTTTACCCGCGGCTTCGCTCGCGTCACAAAAGGATAAAAAGTAGCTTATGTGACATATACCAATACGGAACAAACAAACAAACAAACTCACTTTCCGATTAATAATATTATATAGTAAGGAGGATTATATCTATCTTTACATTTTTGTTTCCGTCTCGTAATAATTATGTGCCTACCTACATAAACAGAAATATTAAAAATAAAATAAAATTAAAAATTTAATATATCTTTAATATATCTATGTACACCTACTTAGGTAAAATTCGAATTTTTTGATTGCAAAGTTATCGATTAGCATTTAGTAGAAGCTACATTTGCATGTAAAACATTTCAGGAATGTGAAACTAGTTTCTTTTCGGAAAAGTCAAGGCTATTTTACAAACGATAATAAGAATTGCATATCTACCTCTGTTGGAATTGTAATATCTACCTGGTACTTACAGATTGTCTTTATTGTTTGTGTCGTTATAATGCCATTAATTACTCCATTCTGTGAAGAACTCATTGCGTGTAGTTCATGGTACGTTGATCTCGGCTCAATAATGTTGATGGTATTGACTTCTGAAGATGTATACTTAAAAAGCGAGCGTTCCTTTCTCCAATTGAACATTTCGCAGCAATGATTCAATGATTGTTTTGTGGGATTATCCATTTTTCTGTTATATTGGAACCAGTAGCTTTTACACTGTCTATTATCGAATAGTGAATAGTCGCCTGCGCGGCAGTCAGGCAACAGTAAACCTGTAAATGGCTAAGCCCTCTAGTCCAATTCACACACAGACTACACTTGCCATCTCGGTCACTCGCAGTCTCCATAATGATTCCGCGACTTTGAATGTTATTCACTGAAGATACAATTTGTTTCAGATAAAGCCACTGAGATCCTAGATGTTTTGTTTTTATTTCGGTTACCCGTTGAAAGAGTCGTAACTTTTTTGTGCCTCAGGCTTAATTTGAACGTAAGAATGTAGGTATATAAAGACTAGAGATCATTTAAAGTTTTGTTATTTTATTATCGTATTAAATCTAAATTATAAAATACTTAACTACGTATCTATCTATTTACCGAAGTCCCGACATGTTTTTCATTATGATTCATAAATTTTACTAATAATGACTTATTCTGCTGATTTCAACTAAAGCGTTTGTTGCAGTTGTTTTACAGATTTGTTAGGTAGGTATACAGGTACTATATTAATCAAGTTTGAAAATCAAACGACAAAGCAGGACATGAAAAGTAAGTTTTTCACTGAAGACTTAGACCCTTGTTGACTGAAGTGACCGAAACACTGAATTGTCATTCGATTCTTAATTGACTGGGTCTGGATTTACCTCCATTTCAGGCGGAAAATCATCCCTTCACCTGGGGAAGGCGAAGAGAAACGTTTTTTTATGGAATAGGAGGCAAACGAGCAGTCGTATCACCTGATGATAAGCGATCACCACCGCCCATGGACACCCACAACACCAGAGGAGTCAAAGATGCGATGCCGACCTAATAAAACGGAATACCTTCGCTCTTTTCGGGAAGGCTTTTTGTGTTTTCCAATTTCCAAAAATACAAAATACCTACATACATCGGCACGTGCACGTAGATACAGTACCCGGCACCAATTAATATTGCACATAATGAAAATTGTACTGTATCCAGATATCTATTTTATGTGTACAAGAAATAGGTCTCAATTGTCCCAAACGGCATATTTATTATTTTACGCCGGCAGCTGTAGGTATTTTAACATAATTAGTAGGTAGGTACCTACTTCCTTGTTGAAAGCTACCTTAGCAATTATGCTTGGTAGCTTTATATGGCAGGTGTTTAGATTATGCATGCTTGTATGTCTAATATTGACTTATTACATTGCCTGCCTCGTTAGTTGAGAGCTAACATCACGATTGTCGAGCAAGTGGTCTCGGGAACGATTCTCGGGGATATTCAACATATTTAAGATTTTTGCTAGACTGATACTTAACTCGCAGAAATAGTTCAGAGAATCTGCATGTACTCAGAAATGGATCGTAGCCTGGGATGATGACACACAAGATGTTTTACCTTGTTGTACCTGACATTTTATTTATATACAATTGAAATGATACTTAGGTATATTTCACTTACTGCCTCTTAAGACATGAGCTGTGCTGTGATTTAAGTTGGTATTGCCACTTCTTAAGATAAATCTAGGTGTACCTACTAAAAGCAACATCGTAGTACGTGTACCTAGTTGCCAACCAATTAAGAAAAATCACCTACTTACCTACTTCTTAAAACATGAATTAAATATAAGTAGTTTATTACTTTATTGCCTATTGCTTTATTCCTAAACTACTGCGGATTCCATCGCATTCTTACGTAAATGCGTACGCAATATTAACGGGTATGAGGGACCATTGGATTTATTAAGCCGGTTTCCTATTTGAATACAGTTGGTAACGTTACCTAAGGGCTCTTTTGCTAAGGAACAAACATTTTTATTGTGCTCGAGTCTGAATAGGGGGGTTGGAGTGGGGTGGCTGGTGCCCTTCGCGCATGCTCCATTCAGTCGGCGACCCGGCGCGACCCTCGTCAACTTCAGTCCACACCTGAGGAGCTCAAGGCGATCCCTCGTGTTTCTACACTTCAAGCGAATTTAGGACTATAAAATCCTACACTATTCAAAAGTAAGTGACAATTTTTTTCTCAGTATTGTAATTGATTACGTAACTGATTTGCAAGTGTTACACTTAATTAGATTTTCATTGATGTGACACGGTGTTTGGTCCATAACGACACGTGTTATACGATAGCTATGACATGAGCTGACACTTTAAAAATATACAGCGATGATGGAAACTAAAGGCACATGTGACGCAATCTGGTGCAAATTCCCAATTTAATACCGCCTTCCAAAGGGAACTAGTGCGGAATTTGGTATTTATCTCGTGTCCTTTGCTGTATCTGTGATCGTTATTTTAGCGCGATTTTAATAAATCAAATGGCGTCGAATCGATATCGTGAAAACATGTGGACATCCATTTTGGACGCTCATAGTTATTTATTATGTGTGGAGAGTGGGATTTAGTCATCGGTTAGCATGATAAATATGTGATTCATACATAGATATAAGAAGTTACTTAAAACTAAAATCGGATATTATATTTTTGTCATACTCGCATTGTTGCTTCCCTGCTAAGATAGGTAGGAATTTAGGTAGCTATATTTGAGGTATCACTATGGGATAGTTAATTGTAGAAAACATTCTAAGTACTTTTGGTCTAGTTTTTTAACATCGCTATTATCTTTACAGAAATGATGAAGCCGAAATTAACAAGCCATCCTCATCTATACGAAAGACTCTTTAAACATCAAACATTGTGACGCACAACCACCACATAAGTTTCGAATTACTTTATTTCTAAATATTAAAAAATTATAACTAGTTTACGAGTTGCTTTTAAAATCGTAACTAATTATTATCTGTAAATCTTTAGCTACTATTTATATGTATATTCTATAGTTATTTTTCTATAAAGGAATGGAAATTCGACTGTCTAAAGATAAGAAAGGATTGTTTTCAACAAGTGTTAAGGAATTAATATAATATAGAGCCAAGCTTATCGTTAACTATGGTAATATTTGCGTTTGGTTAGGTGCTACAGAAATGGTTTTTTATATGAAAATTGATTAGTGGGATTCGACAGTTATTGGAAAGGCAAAATAATGGAACCGTTTTCTGATGATTTGCTATGGCTTGTGGTTAGTGGGTTTGTTGTGGCGTTCATATTGGCATTCGGCATTGGTGCCAACGATGTGGCTAACTCGTTTGGGACCAGC